TGTTATTGATTTTTACTCTGGACTCACTGTGTTAGTGAATAACTGAATTAAAATAAGTCAAGTACGAAAATGAAGTTTTGAATATGTATATTTTGCATAACGCATGACCATAACAGACAATCAGAGAGACGGAGGGAAGAAAGCGAACAGGATATAACAAAGCGAAACGAATTAAAGAAGGCATAACGGTCAACCGACTTCAATCAAGCGATACTCAGTATTTATGGCCAAATCGAACCGGAGCAAGGTAAAGGCAAAGAGACGAAACCAATAATTAACAAGGCCAAAATGTGGCTCAGGAAGAATGAATAAAAGTCCGGTCACTACAGATCGGCCGTACGATAACATCATCGCGTTTTGCATGCTACTGACAAAGCAATGTACGCGCAAATGATTTGTATCAAGTTGTTTAATAAATTGAGACATTTCTATTCAAATTATTTTGTCAATAATACATTCCAGTCTCAGTATAGAAATACTTTAAGCAAACTTTAGAAATGTTATATATTTCCAATCTTGTTCTTTCCATTAAAAATCCTTACAATAAGCTAATAAGTCAGTAAATAAAGCGTTCAGTGTACCAGAAGTACTATCTCTTAAATGTTTGCTTTTCGAAGACATGTAATTTGCGTTTCCTTGATGTCTATTTCAATAATTGACACTATCATATCACAAAAATTCGTTTTCTGAGCTCTTATTGAATTTTTATGTTACATTAAAAAGTAAATTTGGATTTCTGTAATGTTTGAATAAAATAATGATACCTTTGTACTTGTTGAATGCTCGATTTCGAATTCCAAATACAATACATTCGTTTGTGCTTGTGTCTTACTTCTTAATTCAATTGCGTTATTTCTGGGACTCTGAGTTCATAATTCAATTCAAATAATTTAAAGCATTATATTGGCGTCGCGATGGAGCCTGCAATGGAAAAGTTAGATATTCATTCAACTTTGGAAGCTTTTGAGGATTATTTGGAAAGGTTTGAAATCTGAAGCATTACTAAGAAAGATGTCAAAGATGATAAAATTGTGGCACATTTCTTGACATTCATTGGGAGAGAAGCGTACAGCTTAATAAAAACTTTCGCATATCCAGAAAAACCTATCTCACTTCCTTATGCAACTCTTAAAGAGCTATTAATAAATCATGTAATGTGCACCAGTTTTGAATGCCGTGAAAGAGCGAAATTTCATAAGATGATTCGTCAAAATGACAAAAAGTTAGGGACTTCATCTTTGAAATGCAGAAACAAGCTGCCAAATATAATCTCGGTGATCAATTTCATGTGCAATTGAGAGATCGATTAATTGCAGGAATTAACATAACGAGTTTGGAAAGAGAGCTGTTAAAAATGCCAAACTGTTCCTTTCGAAATGCTGGAACTGCGTGTATTAACTATGAGGCAGTCAATGAACTTGATATCTAGTCGATGAAGATTTCAAATACTTTGCTTAGTCGTTGTGATGAACTACAATCTCAGGGTCAATCAAACTTGTGTTCGTTTTACAGTGATTCCTATTCTCGTGTGAATATGAAAGCTGTTTCAACAAAGGATTACAAAGCAAATCACAAAGGTGAGATAAAAATTAATGCTCATATTCATGTCATGACTTTTTTGTGGACACAGGCAGTATAGGGTCCATTATTTCATTCAAAAACTTGAAATCTGTAGATCCTAATGTTGTGCTTTTACCCACTGAAGTATCACTATTGGGGATTACTGGACACAGACTTCCCATACGAGGATGTTGTGAATTGCTAATAAGACATGATAATTCTTCATACATACCTTGTAAATTTTTAGTTAGCGAAACAGAATTGTCAATACTGAGTTTAAAGAATCTGAAAAAGCTTAAGGTGGAGTTGTCTTTCCCAGTTTCTAAAGAAAATTCGGATGCTTTACTTAAAGATTTGATAGCTGTGTGTGCTAAGTGCAGTAGAGGTATGAAAATTCAGCCTATAAAACTTCACGTACAGGGTGATCCCGTCTTTCTTAAAAGACGAATAACTCCTTATGGTCTTCGAGAAGCAGTACATAAGACATTAAACGAGTTGTGTGCGAAAGGCATAATTGAACCGATTCAGTCTTCAGCATGAGGTACTCCTATCGTTACGCCACTGAAATCGGACGGCAAGACCCCTAGAATTTGTGGTGACTATAGATTAACATTGAATTCCCGTTTGTTGAAGCAAACGTGCACGACAGAAGAGGCTGAAGATATTCTAGATTGACTTCATGGTTCTAAAGTGTTCTCGAAAGTTGACCTAAAAGATGCTTATCTTCGAACCCCTTTAGATCAATCTTCATCTATTTTGACGACAATTAACATTCCTTTTGGTCTGTTGAAATACAATCTCCTTCCATATGGTCTATGTTGTTCTTCAGCCATATTTCAGGAAGTAATGAAAAAAGTAGTTGGTGATCTTAAAGATGTTGAAGTTGATCAAGATGGTATCATTGTTCATCGATCTTATAATGCAGTTCATGACCAGAGATTTATTGCTCTATTGCGTAGTTTAATTGAGAATAATGTTACAATGAATGAAAATAAGTGTTCATTTTGCGTATCTAGTTTTAAAAGTCTTGGATACCTAGTTGATGGTGATGGTTTTAGACCAGATATGAAACGACTAGCTCCACTGACAAATGCACCGTATCCAAAAAATCTTACGGAATTATGTTCACTTGTGGGTGATCTTCAACACCATTCCCGTTTTATCCCTAATTTTTCTTGTCGTGCGAATTGTTTGTTCAATATTTCGACATCCAATTCATTCAAATAGGGTGAGGAACAGGAGTTGTGCTTACGAAATCTACTAAAGTTTCTTCAAAGTTTTGCTGTTCGTCGAACTCACTACCTAGTGTACATTCTGTGCTCATTACTGATTCCTCACCTCTGGGCGTTGGCACAGTTTTGGAGCAGGAAGGTAAACTAGTTGTTTGTGTTTCATGCAACCTTACCGTTACTGAACACGTTTATTCACATACTCAGCGAGAAGCATTAGCTACGTTTTGGGCTGTTAAAAGACTTCATAAATATTTGTTCGGAAAGAAATTCATTATTATCACTGATCATGAAGCTTTAAAGTTTATTTATCATGCTGAAAAATCCTTAGCACGTTCCTCAGCCGCTATGGTTCAACGATGGAGTATTGCTTTGAGTGCATATTACTATACGGTTCAGCACAGAAATGCCAAACAATTTCAACTTGTTGAGTACGTTTCTTGACAATCATTACAAGATAGACTTGTTAATACTTCGGACTGTTTGTTAGTGCAACCCCTATCAGTGAGACTTCGTGATCTCATTTGAGAAACTCGTAGATACTTTAGATGTATACACACTGCTATACGGAAAAGCTGGAATGCTAATTTGAAACGTCGATTACCTATCTGTTTTTCAAAGTGGGATGAGATATCTACTACTGGTGGTATTCTGTGTCTAAACGATCGTGTTGTCATTCCTCCTTCATTGCGTAAATCTGTTCTTGAAGATCTTCATAGTGATCATTTGGGTGTTGAAAAAATGAATTTCTTGGCAAGGCTCACATATTGGTGGCCAGAGATAAATGCAGATATATGTCGTACAGCAAACAATTGTGAGAAATATTATCGGTTGAACAGTCATATGTTGAGGTGGATTCCATGGCTAGTATCATCTGAGATTTGGCAGAGAATTCATGCAGACTATTGTGGTCCGTTTCTTAGTAAATACTATGCACTAGTAGTTATTGATTCTTTTTTAAAGTGGCCTGACGTTTTTTTCACAACTTCACCAAGTTCTGATTTCACAATCCAAGCATTAAGAAAGGTGTTTAGCCGAGAAGGGGTTCCCATGGTGTTAGTGACAGATAATGGCTCTCATTTTGCTGCAGATGCAGTCACTACCTGGTTGAATGGTGTAGGGTGCAAACATCTGTTTACTGCTCCCAGACATCCTTGTTCTAATGGTCAGGCAGAGAATTTTGTAGGGACATTAAAGACTGCTATTATTTCTATAGCTGCCTCAACATTTAATGAGCTGGAGAGGGGAGTAGATACCTTTCTGTTGCAATATAGAAATACCAGACAATCGGTGACGAAAGAGACTCCATCAAAGCTATTTAAAGGAAGAATTCTTCGGTCGAATATGAGATGTTGAGAGTCTGCAGACGTTACATATTATCAAGGAACGATCTTCGACCATCCACGGGTATTGTTCTGAATAATGTAGGAAAATCGATAGTGCGAATTCTAGACATCAATGACTTAAGTACACATAATCGATATGTTGATCAAATACAATTTCAGGAAGCAGGTGAGTCAGTTTCAATTTCGGTTGTTAATTCTAATGCTAATAAGTACATTCTAAATAATACAGAATCCTTATCCAATACAATGTCGGACAGATTCAGGATGAATTTGAGAAGAAGACGTATGATTGATTACAATCACCTAGACTTCAATTTAAGCTGTGGTGGATGTGGTGTTTGAACGAACTAATGATACCTTTGTACTTGTTGAATACTTGATTTCCAATTCTAAATACAACAATTTCGTTCGTGCTTGTGTCTTACTTCTTGATTCAATTGAGTTATTTTGGGAATTCTTAATTCATACTATAATTCAAATAATTCGAACATTATAGTAGCTCACACTACAGCGTTACATTTTATTTGTATTTACTACAATTAAATTAAACTCATTAGTATTTATTGAAAATATTAGTGTCCACTGCCTTCCCAACCATAAATATGGATACTACTTTGTATATAATTATCTGTGCTCTATACTATATCCTATTTACATTGTCTATTCTGCAATCGACAAAGATTTCGCTTAGGTTGGAAATGATTAGTGGCAACTAGGTAAAGATTCCTAACTAACTAATAAGATCAGAAATGTCAACAGTTAATTAGTAATCGCATATTATTCTTTACAAATGAAATGAGTTCAATAACACAGCAGTTTGATTGTAAGGGTATTCGCACGATGTAACTGTATCATATAACCATGATCACTGAAAACAACAATAGAGAAAACTGTTACTGATTATTAGAAATTTAAACTAGTTCACAGTGCCAAATGTTATACATATATCAGTAAGAGTGTAAAAGCTGTGGTCCGATACGTAAAATAATTTAAAATTGATTGATCACTAGGTGGTGATCAATACTAGTTAAGTTAACATGTGGTCACTAGTCTTGATGACTCGATATTGCGTGCATTATGTTGATATAAGATGGTGTCGAGTCATCTAGACTAGTGGCCACATTACAACTTGGTTGCTATGATTTGATGTGCACTAAGAATTACCTGACATAAATGACATTGATTGTCATTCAGTGATCAATCAATTGTAAATTCATCTCGGTTCTACAGAAGGTCAGTCAAGGCCCGGATAGCTCAGTGATAACGTTTCTAACTGTGAAGCTAGATGAAACATGATTGAATCCGTCAACGAGTATTATTTCCTTCAAGATCACAGGTACACTTTGCTGACGATTACCAAGTAACACGAAACTTTAAGTCTAGGATTGACTACCTCTAACCACTATCTTAAAATAATGTATTTCACTGACAAAAAAACAAATAGCCTACTTAGCAACTTTGTCTTTATAAATTGACAGATAATTCTGTTTAAATATTACGTATAAAAAGAATTACATTTCTCTATTCAAAGCAAAATCATCCGTCTGTAAGGTTGTCTTTTATTAAACTCTGTATATTATGATTTTCATAAAGAAGTTTTTCAGTCGACTATCTGAATTTTTTTCTTAAAATGTGTTAAACTATTAATAAATCAGATGAACTTTGTGGATATTATAGTAAATTCAGTGGTTAAGATCATGAGTCAATTAAAGTTAGACCACTATGGAGAACTTGGAAGCACTAGACGGCTCAGTGGTCTAGTGGTTAAGTGCACGCGCGTGAAACCAGTGGGTCCTGTGTTGAAATCCCGCACGGGACAAAGTCGTGGATGCTCAATGTTAGTATATCTTTGAAATAGTCTTCCAGGAACAAACTTTCAAAATAAATTCATTAACATTTTTAACCATAAATTGTAAGCATCTAGCTAATGAAACTTAATATTTCATGAAAGATTATATTGATACAATGATCCACTAAAAACCAACTGCTTTCAAGTAACCGTTTTCAATATAGTATCTAACTCTAAATAATTTAAGTATTGACTGAGGTCTCTAAATATTGACCAACTAATCCTAACTACTGTGACTGAATTGGATAATTCCTCAACAAATGTTGAATCATGGACACTTCAGATTGATTAAGAAAATCTGATCACTTATTTCAATGAATTTACTATATATATAGTTCAAAGATGATTCAATTCAAATATACAAGGGAAATTATCAAGGAACTTCATTTATCAAGATCGGAGTAATAATCTTTACAAATCATGCCAAAAAATGATCTACTAACTCACAGCTTCTCTACAATATTTATAGACAACTTTACATTTAGTTATAACACATTGTCAGATCTGTCTAATTTTATACATGTACATTAATGCAAATGAAAGTGTTCATAATGCATATAATCCGTGTCGGGTAGAGACAGGTATCTACCTCAGTACAATGGAAGTCGGTCGCGCAACTTTGTGGATTGGTTGATGTTGGACACTAACACCATTGGATGCCAGCTCAGTGGTCTAGTTTGTTAAGCGCCTGATAGGTCCTGGGTTCGAATCTCGCGGGGAGCGGGATCGTGGATGTGCACTGTTGTAGGAGTCCCACACTAGGTTTCCAACAGTGGTCTAACATCAATTGATTTATGATCTCAATAGAAAAAATAATCACAACCTCTATACTGATATATTATTTCAGTTCCATTTGAAAGTAATATATGTATATATATATGATGCATACCTTACAGAATCTCTTGGGATTAGGACAATGTAGAGTACCTTGAAGCCAAGTTCTTCCATCAGTTACTTTAAAATGTACTTCACCTTTTTTAGGACAATGAACAGTTGCATTTTTGAAGTAAAAACTAAGTGTTCTGTTTGAGTGACATACGTACTGAAAAAAGAAGTCAAAGTTATTAATAAATCTTTAATATAATCCTAGACTGACATAAAATAATGCCAGTTATGAATAATTACAATTATATTCATGGTGAGACTATAATATATGGACGAAATTTGAATGACGCTAGAGTGACTTTAAGAATGTTCACTTAATAACTGAGACTAAAAGGGAGTTGTAAACCACGCAAGACTGATAGGTCCTGGGTTCGAGTCTCGCGATCCCCAATCATGGATGTGTACTGCTGAGGAGTCTTGCAATAAATTGAAATGGTCGTCCACTGCTTCCAGATTTTCCATAGTGGTCTAGTTTCAGTTGACTCACGATCTCAACGATTGAAATTACCATAATATCCACAAAAATGCTTCTGCTATACTTTATAGTTGATGGTTAGCCTTCGGATTTAGAGTAATGATTCTCATCACGAACTATTCTCAGCTTAATTCCCGAAACGCTATAAAGTCGAATAAATAAATGAATTTCGTGCCAAAATCCAAGATCTGTTATCTTATATCTAACTAGTTCGTTCATACATTATAGTTTCGCCATATTGTTATGATAAATAAAATTTTACTTGAAGTGCATGTATTGCTTTCTACTCCCAAAATTTTGTTAAGACTTTTGAAGTCCTACTTGTTTTAGTTTGATTCAAATAGTCCCCTAAAAACAGGGTTTAACTCAGTGTTTTGAGAAAATCTTTGACTTTTGATTAATAAAACCGGTTTTATTGTTGTAAATGACGTACTGTTCAGAGATGAATTGAGCAAGATATAACTAATGTGGACAAAGATTTTTAGGATCATAAACGTCATGTTTCATATTATATTATTACATATCTTACTTACTTACTCACTCACTTACTTACTTACTCACTTAATTACTTACTTACTAACTCACTTTTGTTACCCCTCATGTGGGAGACTAGGTCACATTTTAGTAGACAGAAAAAATGTTAGACAAACAGACTTAAACTTACCTTATGACAACTTGCTTGCACATTACTACTTATTTCCTCCTCATAATAGTCCTTATAAATCCAATTACCTCGATGTTCTGTACAAAGTGCCTTTGTTCCATATGTTTGGTAAAAACGATTAACGCCATCTGATATTGAAATAAATTTCAAAAGGTATCTAAAAACATTCTTAATTTGTAGTAAAATAAACAAAATATTAGTAAATCTATGTTCACAAACACAGAACATTTGATATTGTATTCTGTGAACAAAGAACCTAAATGATGATGATGATGATGATGATGATGATGATGATGATGATGATGATGATGATGATGATGATGATGATGATGATGATGATGATGATGATGATGATGATGATGATGATGATGATGATGATGATGATGATGATGATGATGATGATGATGATGATGATGATGATGATGATGATGATGATGATGATGATGATGATGATGATGATGATGATGATGATGATGATGATGATGATGATGAGGATGATGATGATGATGATGATGATGATGATGATGATGATGATGATGATGATGATGATGATGATGATGATGATGATGATGATGATGATGATGATGATGATGATGTGATGATGATGATGATGATGTGATGATGATGATGATGATGATGATGATGATGATGATGATGATGATGAGGATGATGATGATGATGATGATGATGATGATGATGATGATGATGATGATGATGATGAGATGATGATGATGATGATGATGATGATGATGATGATGATGATGATGATGATGATGATGATGATGATGATGATGATGATGATGATGATGATGATGATGAGGATGATGATGATGATGATGATGATGATGATGATGTGATGATGATGATGATGATGATGATGATGATGATGATGATGATGATGATGATGATGATGATGATGAGATGATGATGATGATGATGATGATGATGATGATGATGATGATGATGATGATGATGATGATGATGATGATGATGATGATGATGATGATGATGATGAGATGATGATGATGATGATGATGATGATGATGATGATGATGATGATGATGATGATGATGATGATGATGATGATGATGATGATGATGAGATGATGATGATGATGATGATGATGATGATGATGATGATGATGATGATGATGATGATGATGATGATGATGATGATGATGATGATGATGATGATGATGATGATGATGTGATGATGATGATGATGATGATGATGATGATGATGATGATGATGATGATGATGATGATGATGATGGATCGTTGTAAACTATTATACATTTTAACAGACCTTAGAACACTTTTGGGATATAATCACACTTTATCAATATTTCAACCAAATGTTGTTTCTTAGTGTATTAAATATGAAAATACATAATATTTTAATGGATGTCATTAAGAAATATTGAAATTAAGAAGAAGTAATTTCAAACAATCTGAAACAATCTAAACGCATTCAACTATGAAGTGATGCAACCCGATTGTACATAGTTTCGATAATTATTCTTTCTCTGAAGAGGATATTTCAAAACTTTTAGAGAGACTATAATTTATGTACGACCTTTGAATGACGCTCAAGTGACTTTGAGAGGGTTCATCTAATAGCTAGGACCAGATGAAGATTATAAACCTGTATGAGAAATTAGAATGATGATTTATAGTTGATTGTCAAGATTAGGAATTAGATTTGAGATTTTCATCACGAATTGACATCATCTCTAATGCCAACATGATATTGTGCCAAATGGATGAGTGGATTTCACACCGAAATCTAAGACCTGTTATTTTTTACCTGATTAGTTCGTCTATAAAATTATAGTCTGACCGATAAAACAATACAAAGAATAATATGCTATCCAAATGGATATTCTTCAATTGAAAGTTATAAATGATTCATATTCAATGGTTAAAGTAATGTAGTTCAACTTAGAAACTGATTAACATCAAGAATAAGAACATATCACATAATGAGATAACTCTATACTCACGTGTTATTTCTGTGTTTTCATGATGTGTACAAAATGATGTCGTTCTATCGTTCATCGAACTCATAACAAACTAATACGAAAGTTTACATAAAATAGAAAAACATAAAATTAACAATTTTAACTTCATTTCGTATAGAGGTGAATTGAGAAGTTCTAAACAAACTTGTGTGGATGCTTTCAATAGTAACTATGACCATATAACTTGGAGTATTTTATAATCAGTGATTTATACTTACCATTGTCATTACTTTGTTAGAATAACTTGACTTCTTTCACATTAAATAGATCTATGTTTCAAAAATAGTTGATAAGCATCTATTTGAGAGATCGATAAAACCTTGTAGATTATTGAACTACTAATGATGAATTATACAGTCTTTTCTCTTACTCAATTTTCACTGTTTAATGAATATTGTTCAACACGTGTACAGACCTGTTTTTTGATTGATCGCATATAATATTCTTATGTTGTTCATTTGCACTATTTAAACCTGGATTAATTTTGATTTGGTTATTTGTTGATTCTCTGAAGATGTGACTTACACTGAGTCACGAAACATCAGAAAATTTAATTTTTCGACTCATCTAGATATTACAAATATTATATATATATATATAGGTCGTGGGTTCGAATCTCGCGAGGTGGTGTCATGGATGCGCACTACTGAAGAGTCTCACAATAGGACAAAATGGCCCTCCGTTGCTTCTAGTTTTCTAACGATGCTCTAGCTTCAACTGACTCATGATCTCAACTATTGAAATTATCAAGTCAGACTTTGTTAATGATACTTATTGTTCAGTACCGTTATAATTTTCCAATGAAAAGTAAGATTGTACAGATATATTATTAAAAATTTAAAAAGACGAAACACGTTGAAAATCTTCTGGCAGATCAGTATTGTTCAACAGTTTCTTTTTAAAAGTATGAGTGATTGATAATTCACTATAAACAAAAACTGGAATACACAATTTCAACAAACCAATATCTAAATGATAGATGGCTTAATGAAATCTTATAGGAAGATAGGTTTATATTAAATATATATATAGAGAGATAAGTCAGCTGGAGTAAATATGAACATGTGATGAATAAAAACTCAGGAAGAAAAGCAGACATTCACAAGAATATCAGTTATTGTATCATTCACTGAGAAATCATGACCAGTGTAGTTCAACCGTCTCTGTTGTGAGATAGTTACTCAATGATGACAATGGTGGACAATGGTGCGATTTCGTGAATTGGTTGAAGTTAGGCATTAACACCATTGGATGTCGTCTCACTGGTCTAGAAGTTAAGGAATAGCGCTCAAGACTGGTAGGTCCTAGGTTCAAATCTCACTAGTCAGGGTGGTAGATTCTCAACGCTAATGAATCCCGTACTACGACGAGTTGGCCATCCAGTACTTCAAGGTTTTCCATGGTTATCTAACTGACTCATGAATTCAACTAATATGATATTTAAAATGAAATAATACAATAAACTTACAGTTTGAGTTGGACAATAATCTTTAAATAGATCATCACCTCCAAAGTATTTAGCTCCAAATGGAGTTTCAAATGGAGGAGTTTTAAAAAAACGATCTTCAGGGGGAATTTCATGATTATATTTAATAATACGGCATATTCCATATGAATATAAATCCCGACATGTTACTAAATTAACTTGATCACAGAATGGATGAATTGTTTTGTTCCTTGAAAAATAAGTTTTATTTTTAAATCATTTATAATTAATTTACAATGAAATATAAGTTTTAGTAAGTATTTAGATGTACAATGGAATTCATCTAACTCTTTTGTGTACAAACAGTCTAGCAATGTGGTATAAGATCATAAACGTACTGTAGTGCGTGCTACTTACACTGATATAAGTAGTATATGACGCGAGTCAAGAATGTAATATCTAGCAGTAGAAGATGGAGGAAGATCAAGAAAGCAAGAGTGGGAATAGAATGAAATCTGTATAAAAATGCAAGGACAATGAAGTCTGAGGCATTTTAAGACAAATGGTGGATATTTTGTAAATTAACGATTTAATATATAGTTCTCATATTTTATTGAGATACCCTGTAATTTTGTGTTAAATACATTCGGTTGTCCTTACCCGTGTTCTGTTCACTACACTGCTACATTATTATAAGTATATGAAATTTCTCCTAAATATCTATTCTATTATGGAGTAAGAAAGCAGTTTGTTCTACTATACGTTCTTTTATTCATAATGTGGTAATGATAAACTATACTAAATAATTGATATTTATGATCAGAATGAGGTTTTTGTGGAGATTGTAGTAATTTTAATAGTTGAATTTATGAGTGACTGACTTCAAGATGATTTCATGGAATTCTAATGAGAAGCTATGACTAGAGGAGTCTAAACTGTGTCAAGTGGACACAAGTATCTACCTCACATAATAGATTAATGGTTGCGTAGTCATTCATGGATCGATGGAAGTTGGACATTAACACCGTTGGAAGTAGACTTTTCGCGCGCAAGACTGGAGCTCCTGGGTTCGAATCCGCGTGTGCAAGATTCTGTGCTCACGCTACTGAGAAGTCCCATTCTAGGATGAAATGGCCAGCTTTTCAGTTTAAAAAAATGGTTTTGATGAAATAACATCACTTTGATATTTGATTATTTTTCGAGATATGAACTTAATAGTATGATAAATATATTGATACATCTGTTTCCCGAGTATACATTTTGCTTTCTGAAACATTAAATAATGATGATGTAATTGCTGAGGAGTCGCATACCTAATGCTTTTAGGTTTTTAATATTAGTCTAGCTTAGATCGAATGATTCATTCAACTATTAAAACTTACTTTCGTCTTTTACTTTCAGCAAATGCGTAACAACTTTTTTCAGCAAAGTCACATCCTAATTTTTTACCATATTCCCAAATCATAGCTTTTCCATAATTAACGATGTACCATCTAATAAATTAAACAAAAACAACTTGATATAATTTAAGCATAATTGATATATATTTATAATAACCCTATAATTGTTATAATTAGTATGTTTTATTCTGGTTGGCGTATTTTTTTAGCGAGTTAGTTTTCTACGGGATGGAGTCGCTAACTCCCATGCCCAACCCTCCTCCTTTATACGGGCTTGAGACCGGCAGTAGTCCACGGAGGGAATCCAGGCGGAGTTTTATTCACAACTATGAATATTTACATTAAATTAGTTTTTCCAGCATATTTTGTTGATTATGTAATATAGGCATAGATTTGTTGTCTAAATTTATTGAGAATGAAAAAGTCATAATTATCATAGATACTGATAAGTCTTGTTAATTTGAACGCTTCATTCGGTTCCTAAGCTATTCTGGTAGCACGCAAGCTAGAACTACGCAGCGACTGACAAACAGTAGTACGTCACGCTGATGTTCTAGAAAGCTCCATCATGCTCTGATTGGCTAGGACTCTTCGGCTCCTTTAGGGCCTCTGGAGGCTCCGTTGCAGTTCTCGGAAATCCGACTCAACAGATACTTTATCGATATATACAAAGGATAAAGTCATTGAATTATTCCGGTGTTTAATAAATGAATTAATTTGAATTATATTAAAGTATATTAACTTAAAACAATGTCAGATGGGTTTTGTGGATATTATAGTAATTTCAATGGTTAAAATTATGAGACAATTGAAGCTAGACCACCATGGAAAGCCTGGAAGCACTGGACGGACGTTTCGTCCTATTGTGGGACTCCTCAGCAGTGCGCACCCACAAACCCGCCCCCTGCGCGATTCAAACCCAGAACATACTGATTTCGCGCGCGAGCACTTAACCACTAAACCACTGAGCCGGCACTCAACTGACTCATGATCTTAATGATTGAAATTAATATGATATCCACAAAACCCACCTGATAATAATCAACATATGCTCATTAATGACTGGCTTCAAGAGGTATATTCTGAAGTCCTAGTGAGAAACAGTGACCAGTGGATTTCGACCGAGTCTGTTGTTAGATAGTAACTCACTGATGAGAATGGTGGATGTGTCGCTCAATTTTGTGAATTAGTTGACGTTAGACATTAACACCGTTGGATGCCTGCCAGCAGGCTCAGTGGTCTAATGGTTTATCGTTCGCGCATGAGACCGATAGTTCATGGGTTCGAATCCCGCAGGGGGCGAGGTCGTGGACGCGCACTTCTGAGGAGTCCCACAATGGGAAGAAACGGCTGTCCAGTGCTTCCAGGTTTTCAATGGTGGTGTAGCTTCAACTGTCTCATGATCTTAATCACTGGAATTAGAACTATGAATGTTTGTATTGGTATTGTTAAAAATGCTAGATTATTGTAAATGAATATTTGTTCATTACAAGTTAATTCAACAAAAATCATCAGATGAATACGTTGTGAAGAAGAAACATTGCTATGACCCAAGTAGCTGAGAAAATCATCTGTATGAATTGAGATGTTTATTATGGATACTGATTATATTTATGGTCACTTGAAGTATTCGTTTGCTTAAATGACGACATTTTTAGCAAACTGATTGTAACCCAATCTACATTTACTTGAAACACAAACGATTTTAGGATTCTGATCAGTGGCGAATGTCACATTTAAATGACACAATCCTTACCTTAGAATCAGATAAATTTCCTAACAAACAACCAACTACTAAATCATTTATGGTAAAGAAATAACATACAATATGTATGTTTGTAAAGTTGTAATTCTCTCGAAGTATATAATGAATCAATCAGAAATTATTGCTTAGTTACTTTATATACGGTTCCTGGAACTTAGATATTTGTAACCTATTTATATGGTTTATACTTTAAACTAAGTTGATACAATAAATCAATTGTGTTTCAATAACTTTTTTGAATAGAGGATCTATGATATTACAAACAAGTACACTAAGGTTATTGAGATAATTCATACAATAGATTATATTACTAGGGTTGATAAAGATAATCTTACCCTGAATCTTCAAAAAAACCTAAAGTCATATTAGATACAGCATAGTCTACTTCTATTCTTCCAGTCATTAATTCATTCTAAAATGTATTTGAAGAAATGAAATGAATAAACATTAATAGAATAAAATGAATACACATAGTTTCATGGGATAAAGTTCATTTCCTAAGTACTATAATCAGTCAGTCAGTCAGCAACAACATGTAACTTCGTACGTACGTACATCAGTTCAAGTTGTCATACCGAATTAGCACAGAGATGCAACTGTTGATTCAAATCCCATAGTGGCAAACGTAGTAATACTATAAGCAGTAATCGGAAAGATAAGGATTAGAAGATGTTATTCAAGGAGTATAATTCAGTGAAATAAGTTTGGAAAAAGAAGAAAAAAGAAACATGAAGTATTCAGAAGATTAGAATTTAGGAGAACACAAAGAAAAGATGCATGTTCGCCATTACATACGATTTTGAGCCAAGTACTATAATATATCATTCTAAATAAAATTCCATTCACAACGTACAGCAATAACATGATAATCTTGTAAATTTTGTTTAGATGTTATTTTCTTGACTTACTTACTTACGCCTGTTACTCCCAATGGAGCATAGGCCGCCGACCAGAATTCTCCAACCCATTCTGTCCTGGGCCTTCTTTTCTAATTCCATATAATTCTTGTTCATTTTTCTCATGTCTATCTCCATTTCCCAGCGTAATGTGTTCTTTGGTCTTCCTCTTTTCCTTTGGCCTTGAGGATTCCATGTGAGGGCCTGTCTTGTGCCGTAGTTGGTTTTTTTCTTCAATGTGTGTCCTATGCACTTCCAGCACTTCTTCCTGATTTCTTCCTCCACTGGAATGTAGTTTGTTCTTTCCCATAGAAGGTTGTTGCCAATAGTGTCCGGCCAACGGATTGTAAGTATTTTGCGTAGACAACTGTTAATAAACACCTGTATCTTCTGGACGATGGATTTCGTAGTTCTCCAAGTTTCCACTCCATTCAGCAGAACTGTGTTGACATTTGTATTGAGAATTCTGAATTTGGTGTTTGTTAACAGTTGTTGTGAATTACAGATGTTCTTCAATTGTAGATATACTGATCTTGCTTTTCCGACACGCGCTTTTTCATCTGCAGATCCACCGTTTTCATCAACGATGCTGCCCAAATATGTAAAGGTTTTCACATCTTCCAAATCTTCTCCGTCAATTGTGATTGGGTGCATGCTCTGCATGCTGTGTTGTATCGGAGAATCCTGCTTTTCCCTTTGTGTATGTTGAAACCTACTGCTGCTACACTGATCGTTTTCTCTTGCATTTGTTGTTGCGTTTGCGATAGGACGGCTAGATCATCTGCGAAGTCTAGATCATCCAACTGCATCCAAGATGTCCCCTGTATCCCGTGTTTCCCTTCAGATGTTGACGTCTTCATGATCCAGGCGATCACCAGGAGAGAAAGAAAGGGTAAGAGTAAGCAACGTTGCCTGACACCGGTCTTGAAAACTTTGTTTAGATGATTATTTCTTGACTAATTAGTGTTAAATACTGCTCTTGCAAAACATCAGTATCAATAAGGAATAAAAATAAAATCAGGAGAGATTTTTTATGGATATTATAGTAATTTCAATAGTTGAGATCATGAGTCAACTTAAGCTAGACAACCATGGAAAACCTGGAAGCAATAGACTGCCGTTTCGAACTATTGTGGGACTCCTCAGTAGTGCGCATCCATGATCCCTCCTCGCCAGATTCGAACCCTAGGGTCTATCATTCTCGCGCGCAAGCGCCTAACCACTAGTCCACTGGGCCGGCCGGTATCCAATGGTGTTAACGTCTAACGTCAAGTAATTCACAAAATTGAGCGACACATCCACCATTCTCATCAGTGAGTTACTATCTCACAGTAGACTCGGTCGAAATCCACTGGTCACTGTTTCTCACTAGCACTTCATAATACACCTCTTGAAGACAGTCACTAGTGAGCATATGTAAATAACAAAAGAATTTAGAAGTCTGTTTTCAGCTGTCGTGTCTTCCGTTTTTATTTAAATCTAGCTTTGTCGATTTTCTTGTACAATCATAAAGATTAAGTTCACTTGATATTCATTGCTTGTATCCTCTCATTGTTGTTTAGGATTAAAATTGACCAATCTCTTGTTGGCATATGTGCATCTTGTGCGGATCGCCTCGATATAGACTTAATTTACAAGTTCCGAAGTGAATATCAATTCTAGGATGAAGGTGCATCCAGCTGACCAGTGAGAAATAAGATGAAACGTGCATCCTGGATTACACTGCTAGTCAACATTCATCTTAGCTTATAAAACCATGAAAATTATTTAAAAAAGTGATATACACTGGAATGTGAATCGTCAGCAGACCAATGTTTATAATCCTGTTTATTTTGTAATATTTCTATTATAAATACCAGTTAGTTATAAAAACTAAATACCAGTTGGAATACCATTATAGAAAAAACCTTAAAAAATATCTAATAAAATATACTTTTTTAGTTGAGATCATGAACCGATTGATGTTAGATCGCTCTTAAAAACCTTAAAGCACTGGACAGCCATTTCGTTCTATTGTGGGACTCAACAGTGTACATCTACGATCGCTGGATCCAGCCATTGACGTGCAAGACCAAAGATCCTCTATTCGAATCCATAAACCTTATTTTGTAATAGATAATTTTTACTACAGTTTTCTACAGTATTCTATCATAAATTATGATTTAACTTACTCCGTATGTTTTCCCTTCCCAATGAGAACTAATTGGTCCACGATGTTTTTGATTTTCTAAATCAACTCCATCTAAACGTGCACATTTCAAATGCTTTTTTGCAGCTCCCTAAATAGTATGTATATAAGATTTCATATCGTTTAGTAAGATTAAAATAACTTCAAATGTGTTCTATATTATTTTTAAATAACTCATTGTGATATCCTAATGAGAATTAAATTAGGGGTAACTTCTGAGAACTCTTCATAGACAATATATTATACATATATTCTTATTGTATAACCATTCAGTAACTAGATTGTGTATATCTATATTCCTCTTATCATAAGCTTTATTTTCATCTAGGGATTATTATTATTATATGATTTACTGTCCTTAAGTTATGTTCAGTTTATTGACTACTGCCTCTTACGTTCACAGGCACATTTGATTAAATCTTACACAAATGTTATTTCCTATTTTATGGTATGATATGGTTTGTTTGGCTGGTATATAAACCAAGTATGTTTGAAATAAATGATTTGCGTAGTAGAAGCTGTTATTGACGTTCCAGACTCAACTGGAAAGGTTAGGAGGACAAAGGATGAATAAAAACACTAGACTATTCATACCGGTTGAACGTCATTGGTATGGTAGAGTACTAAGATTGAATGGCGAATCAATCACATGATAGATGATCAGGCTCAAAGTCACAACAAATTACAACAACATATACTCGAATATTAGAATACAATTCAAGGTCAATTGTTATTTCAATAAATTATATAATTAAAATAATCCATTATGTCATTGAATAAAAAATAAAGAGAATCCAGCATTATACTCTTCTCTTACCCCTCAATTATTATGTAACCTCATCTTACTTATTACTTACTTACGCGTGTTACTCTTCGTGAAGGAGCATAGGTCGCTCACCAGCACACTCCATCCAAACCTGTCCTGGGCAATCCTTTCTGGCTCCGTCCAGTTGTTATTCATCTTTTGCATATCCGCATCTGTTATCCGACGTAATGTGCTGTTCGGCCTTCCGCTTTTCCACTTCCCTTCATGATTCCAAGTTAGGGCTTGTCTCGTGATGCAGTTTGACGATTTCCGTAATGTATGTCCTATCCATTTCCATCGTCTTCTCCTAATTTCTTCTTCAGCTGGAAGTTGGTTTGTTCTCTCCCACAGAAGGCTATTGCTGATGGTATCCGGCCAATGGATGTTGAGTATCTTGCGTAGACAGCTATTTATAAATACTTGTACTTTCTTGATTGTGGTTGTTGTATTTCTCGAAGTTTCAGCTCCATACAGTAGAACTGCCTTGACGTTCGTATTGAAGATTCTCACTTTGATATTGGTTGAAAGTTGTTTTGAGTTCCATATGTTCTTCAATTGTAGGAATGCGACCCTTGCTTTGCCAATCCTCGCCTTTACGTCTGCATCTGAACCTCCTTCTTCATCGATGATGCTTCCTAGGTATGTGAAGGACTCTACATCTTCCAGAGTTTCGCCATCAAAAGTGATTGGATTGCTGTACCTCGTTATGAATTTGAGGACCTTAGTTTTCCCTTTGTGTATGCTGAGGCCTACTGATGCAGAGACTGCTGCTACACTGGCTGTCTTTATCTGCATCTATTCGTGTGTATGGGATAGGAGGGCTATGTCATCTGCGAAGTCCAAATCGTCTAATTGATTCTCAGCTGTCCATTGTATTCCGTGTTTTCCCTCAGATGTCGAGGTCTGCATAATCCAGCCGACCACCAGAAGAAAGAATCTTGAATCAATTTATGATGTAATCATTTCTATCCTTCTATAAACTCATTTATTTTCCACAATAACTATAAATCTGAATGTACAGCTTAAGTAAATGATTTCTTTGGAAAGAAATTTCTCTTCGCTGAATTCTCATTATTTTTAAATTATATAACTTTGAATCACTTATTTACGTGACACACTACTGTAGAACGACAGCGGCTTAAAATACTTACATTAAACATTATTATTGTGTTAAACAGTGCAGTAAATTGACATTCAGAGGTACAAATGAGCAATCTTTGTCGAGAATGAGTGTATTCATAAAAGTAATAAGAACATGACATATCTATCGAAAAACTATGTATATGTCACAAACAAGTAGACTAATGATGTAAGTACGTCCAGCCTATGTATCTCAAAATGGACATTATGATATTCCTGAATTTCATTGTTACACACTACTCATGAATCTAATTTTATTGTCAGAAAGCTTTAGTTGTGTGGTGTGAGCTACTTATATTGACATAAGTAGTATATAACTCTAGTTAGAAATATAATCCATTTCAGTAGAATATCGTGAAAGAAAATTGGGGACGGAAAACAATTGGTATGAAAATGCAGAAACAGCGGAGTTTGAGACGACTGACTGATATTTGAAGAGAGAGCAGTCAAGTTTGAGACCATTGATTGACATTTTGCAAATGATGTATTTACTGTATGTATCTGAGATTTTACTAAGATGTTCTGTAATTTCTTTTTGAAATATATTCGATTGTCTCCATTTGTGTTCTCGTTCACTGCAGTTGTTTACGAGCTGTTTTTTTCAATCTCTTTAGATTCTCTGCAATTGTACATGTATTTTATAGGATTTTACTACCATGAAATTGTAACTTCATCATCAAGTATGGATTTCTGTACTCTGATTTCAGCCACACGTTATTCATCCTACCCTAGAACTGAAGTAAATGAAGTGAGTTTCCAAAATCTTGTCTGTAGGTAAACACTGAATGATGTAATGAACAGATTACCTGTCAAAGTTAACCAATATTATACAAATAAAATAGATAACATGCGGCAATCTGTTCATTTACTGCGGGAGAGAACAAACCCCATTCCAGTGAAGGAAGAAACTCTGGAGGTGGATAGAACACACATTGAGGAAAGCAACCAAATGCGTCACAAGACAAGCCCTCAGTTGGAATACTCAAGGCTAAAAGAGGCTGCAGAAACCAAAAAACACATTACACCGATAAATGAAGACAGATGTGAAAAGAATGAACAAGAATCGGATAGAAGTAGAAAGAAAAGTCGAGGACAGAGTGTGTTGCAAAATGCTGGTCGGCTGCCTATACTCCATTGGGAGTGACAACCGTAAGTAAGTAAGTTAGTTAGTTAGTTAGTCATCTATTTGTCGTTCCAATATCTAATATATCCATAGACTGTATTGACAAATGGATATATATTTATGTATCTTTGAAACTATTTCTTGTTGTTAAGTGAAATATAGAAAAAAAGTGTAAAACATATATATTGACTTACCAAGATGGCTGGTGTAACGAAAGAGTAAAAATCCTTTCTAAACATTCCTTCTGCACTTTCCCATTCCCTTGTAATTTTGATCATTGTATTGTCGCTATGGAAGAAATATATTTGATTCATTTAGATAAACTAAAAATAACCATTATGTAAGCAAGTATATATATATAGGTATGTATGTATGTAAGTAAGCTTGTCATTCAAAGCCATTTACAATGCAATACAAAACAATCTCATGGTAATAGTTATTTGAAAAATAAAACTAGTAGAGTTGTGAATATTACCATTTCTTTTACTTACTTACTTACTTACTTACTTACTTACTTACTTACTTACTTACTTACTTACTTACTTACTTACTTACTTACTTACTCACTTACTTACTTACTTACTTACTTACTTACTTACTACTTACTTTACTACTTACTTACTTACTTACTTACTTCCTTACTTACTTACTTACTTACTCACTTACTTACTTACTTACTTACTTACTTACTTACTTACTTACTTACTTACTTACTTACTTACTTACTCACTTACTTACTTACTTACTTACTTACTTACTTACTTACTTACTTACTTACTTACTTACTTTATTGCTGTTATATATTTGCTTATAAAACTGTATTAGGTAATTCGTCGAACCTACCTTTCCCATCGTTTGCTTATTTGTAGCTTGATTTGAACTCTGCCCAATATAAATTACTGGATAGAACTAGAAAGGAAGGCCGAAGACAGAGAATGTTGGTCGGCGTCGTAAGCAAGTAATCAAGTTAGTAAGTAATATAAACCTATTGTTTCAACATCATTTCACTTTTCAGAAATTTTAAAATATTAGAAGTTTCAATGAAAATGATCATCATATCAAATAACATTATAAGTTTAGATATAATCTTATAAGTATACTGTAACAAACTCAACAAAGTAAACTTTCATTTCCATGACATCATTTACTTAAGATGTACATTCGTATTTATTGTTGTATGGTAAATAAATGTTCATAAAAGATAACATCATAAAGTGAATCGAGACTATAGATATCAAATGAGGTTGCGTAATAGTCACGAAGTGGGAGGCGGTAGGGAAGAATACATGAATGAAAATAATTTACGGGTTAGAATTGTCCATGTGACAGATCAGAAGGAAAAAACCGAATGAAATGATGGTTATGTTAATAACTGAACTATAGTCTCAACTCATTTTATGATGTCATCTTCTCTATCCTTCTATAGACTCATATATTTACCTTTCAAGTCTAAATATGAATGTAAAACTAAAGTAAATGATTTCGCCAAATAGAAATTTTTCTTCGTTGAATTCTTTATATTTTTATCAGAATGGGTTTTGTGGAAATTTTAAAAATTTCACTGGTTGAAATCATGAGTCAATTGAAGCTAGACCGCGATAGAAAACCTGGAAGCACTGAACGGCCGTTTTGTCCTAGTGTGCGACCCCTCAGCAGTGCGCATCCACAATCACGCACCCCGCGAAACTCGAACTCAGGACCTATCAGCATCGCGCCAGGCGCTCAACCAACTAGACCACTGAGCCGGCATCCAACGGTGTTAATGTCTAATTTCAACCAATCCACGAAGTAGCGCCACCGTACACCGTACACTGTACTTCTCACTAAAACTCCAGGAGTTTCTCTTGAAGTTACTCAATAGATTTGCCTTTAATCATAATTACCTGATACATATTTATTAGAAATAATTACCTTGGTATATAATAACCTTGTTTATCCCTGTGAATCGGTTTGTGCCAATGATCTCTGGGAGTTCGTTCAGTTCCATTAGGAAAGCGCATAAATGCAAAACTAGATGATGAGAATCCCTAAAAACAAAAGAGGATATTGTTTGTTTGTTTGTTTTTATGGCGAATACACAATCTCAAATGTGAGCAACGTATATCATTGATGTCAAAATATAGATCTAATAGTGAATGAATAAGTGAATTGATCAATGGTAGTTAATTCTCAACTGAATCAAATCTTTGTAACTACCCATTTACCTTAAATTTATTCAGTCTTTATGTCTGAAAAGTAGATTATTTTAGGATAACTATCGACTCTTCACATGATTTATCATTATATTAAACGTCTGAATATCAGATTCTATAAAGCTGGGATTATTTCAGTTTATGAAGCAAACTAATTTAATAGTTGAATCCATGAGTTAATTAAAGCTGAACCACCATGGAAAATCTGAATGAACTGAATGGCCGTTTCATTCCATTGTAGGACTCCTCAACAGTGCGCATCCATAATCCCGCCTCATGAGATTCGAACGCAGGACCTGCCAGTTACGCGCGCAAACGCCTAACCTCTAAACCACTGATCCACAAAGTCGCACCACCGTCCACCATTGTCATCAGTGACTTACTATCTCACAACAGACGTGATTAAACTCCGCTGGCCAGTGGATTGGTTGAAGCTAGACATTAACACTGTTGGATGTCAACCCAGTGGTCTAGAGGTTGGCGTTCGCGCACGAGACCTACATGTCTTGGGTTCGTATCTCACGAGGTGAGATCGTGGATGAGCACTGCTGAGGAGTCTCACAACAGAACAAAACAGTAGTTCAGTGCTTTCAGATTTTCCATGTTGGTCTAGCTTCAATCGAATCATAAATTCAACTTTTAAATTACTATAATTACCACAAAACCACTCTTTGATTATAATATTAAGTAAACGCATTTTCAGAATAAATAAAGTTTGTAAACGAACTTCAACCAAGATGATGTAATCTATTAATAGTGTTCATTTCAAATAAATGTTACTAAGAGAACAGATAAACTTACAAGTGCATGAGCAATTTCATGAGTGAAAATTCCAAGTGAATATCTATTCTCAGGATATTCAATTTTCAGTTTACCTGGACATACATTAACATATCCAAGAATTGGTCTACAATATAAACAAATACCAGTATAATTTCTCTTAAAATTTTATTAAAAAATTGATTATGTTATTAAGTAAATATGGATAGTGGCTAGTAGAAGAATCCAGTAAGTGTGTTTCGTCCTATTTGGCACTCATCAACTGAATGTACCTTTATCTCAGAGTTGATGTTCAGTCTGGAACAAAGATCCATCTTTGCTTATAATACTCATGACTTAAAGCAATATTGAGGCAATCCGCACAGGATAAACATATGCCAACAAGAGACTGATCAATTACAGTCCTACAAATCAGTGGAAAGATACAAGTAAAACAACACCAAGTGAATTTGTTTATGTTATTATTTCATTTTTTGTTTACATCTCTACGAGGACGAAACGGTCTTCTATTGTTTCCAGGTTTTCAATAGTAATCTAGCTTAGATAAACTTTAAGAATTCAACTGTCAAAAAACTGAGTATTAGAAAATCTAATCTGGGTAGTTTGAATTTACTAGCTTTCAATACAAGCATTTCAAAATCAATGATATTCATAATCAATCGAACATATTAATGTGTTTTCTATCTACCATCAAGTTTACTATGAAGGGTAGATGGTATTAACGATTTGTAGTAATCGACAGATGGAATTTACTATTATTCTTCACATAAATGAACTGTAACAGTTCTATCTGAGGTTTGTGCTGATGATGTCGTTCAGAAGAACAATGAAAGCTCTACAACCAAACCATCCAACTCAGAGAATAAAATTTCATCAAAATCGATAACACAATCAATCATCCTAACTGGTTTCAATTATAGTTTTCTTTAGTTTTCATTTGTAACCAACTTGTAATGTAGATAGTTTTAAATTTGGATTTAAATTCTACTCGATGTCAATCAAAGAGTTAAAGAAATGATTCATACTTCAATATTTCTTCTCAAAAAGACTTTGAAATGTGTAAAAGTCACCGTTTTCATCAAATTAGTATCTTGATAATACGAAATTAGTTCATATTTGACGAAAATGTAGAATAATTCTTTACGGAGTTTAGGTGTAAAAACCTTTCGGTTCAACAGAAATGTGGAATCAATGACAAGATAAAGGAAGTACTTTAGTGAACGAGAGCATAAATGGAGACAATTGAATGTATTTCAACAAAAAATTACAGAACATCTTAGTAAAATCTCAGATACATACAGTAAATACATCATTTGCAAAATGTTAACAAATCGCCTCAAACTTGACTGCTCCTTCTTCAATTATCAGTCAGTCGTCTCAAACTCCGCTGTTTCTGCATTTTCATACCAATTGTTTTCCGTCCCCAATTTTCTTTCTCGATATTCTACTGAAATGCATTATATTTCTAACTAGAGTTATATACTACTTGCGTCAATATAAGTAGCTCACACCACACAACTAAAGCTTTCTGACAATAAAATTAGATTCATGAGTAATGTGTAACAATGAAATTCAGGAATATCATAATGTCCATTTTGAGATACATAGGCTGGACGTACTTACAACAAGACTTAAATGTGCATTAATCATTAGTGTACTTGTTCTTGACAGATACATTGTAAATACTGCATTTGTAAAAGTTTAATCAATTTTATCAAACTTAACTGTTCCTTTTGCAAATATCAGTCAATCGTCACATTCTTCACTATTCCTGCATTTCTATATCAATTGTTTTCTGTTCTCGTTCTTTCCTTCTTGATCTTCTCAACCTTCTACTGACAGACATTCTATTCCTGACTCTGTTTATATACTACTTATTTTGCACACACCACAATATCAGTTTACAGACAAAAAACGGTTATTAATTTAAACTTTGTTTCAACTTTATTCTCTTAAGAAACAAACAACAAGGTTCACAATACTCAAGAGATTCTTTCAAAATCACTTTTTTTTATATATTTTCTATAAAATTACCTGTCTGTATCTAGATCCATTAAACAAGATCCCGCATGAGCTGCTACGTTTACGTTACAGCTCCTTGTTTGATAACCGTCAAAAAGTAGGACATAACCGGCAGATGGAACTCCACTCCCGTTAGTGTATAATCTATGCAACCTTCCATTGTACTTCTCTGAACATTCCTGATGAATAATAATATTCATATGCGTAATTTAAGTAGCATATATTGAACACATGAAATGTACATACTTTTTTATTAAGTGTAATAATAATATTTCTATATATTCATGCTGATTAAATTTTAACATAAGACAAGAAGTAGATTTGGTGAGACTATAATTTATGAACAAACCGCCTAGTTATAAGTCAAAAAGGTCTAGGATTTTGACGCAAAATTCAGTCATTCATTTGACTAAATAGGATTTTGACATTGAGATTAGATGGTGGTTGGAGGTAGTCAACAGGAAACCCTGGACCCGGGTTTCGTGCTACTTGGCACTCGTCAGCAAGGTGTACCTGTAATCTTGAGGGATTGATCACTCGATGGTGATCAATCTCATGCTTGTCTAGTCCTTATTAGTGCAGATCGAATGCTATCGATCATGTTGCAATGTGGCCACCAGTTTAGGTGACTCGACACTGCGGGCACTATGTATTGAGATTAGATGGTGGTTGGAGGTGGTCAACAGGAAACCCTGGACCCGGGTTTCGTGCTACTTGGCACTCGTCAGCAAGGTGTACCTGTAATCTTGAGGGAACTGGTGCTCCCTGGCGGAGGATTTTGACATAGCTGATGTCAGTTCGTAATGAAAATCATAAATCTAATTCCTAACCTTAACTATCAAATGTAAATCATAATTGCAATTCCTTACACAGATTTATAAACCTCATTTGGTTGTAGTTATTGGGTGAACACTCTCAAGGTCACTTTAGTGTTACTCAAAAGTTGTCCATAAATTAATGAAATGTATAATTACAATAGAGAATATAATGAACCGAGTAAATAATTAAATGGGGAATAAAAGTGAACAATTTTTACCCTAAAATAATAATGAATGAACAGGCTTTTGATAGATTTAGATAAAGGTTTAAGTATGTCTTTATATCTTGTAGACGCTCTTAGATTTACCTTTATAACAGTACTTCATTATAAACAATCTATAAACAGTACATTTCAGTCGACTAAATTTATTAACAGAAGTCATACACTTCTAAACATATATTTTTTGATTGATAATTATTAGAAGGACACGGATCGGCAAAACAAGAGTAGCATATCTACAATTGAAGAAAATCTGCAATTCACAACAACTGTTAACAAACGCCAAAGTCAGAATTCTCAATACAAATCTCAACACAGTTCTAATGAATGGGGTGGAAACTTGGAGAACTACGAAATCCATCATCCAGAAGATACAGGTGTTTATTAACAGTTGTCTATGCAAAATACTTCGGACCCGTTGGCCACACACTATCAGCAACAACCAACTATGGGAGAGAACAAACCACATTCCAGTGGAGGGAGAAATCAGACAGAAGCATTGGAAGTGGATAGGACACACGTTGAAGAAAAAACCCAACTACGCCAGAAGGGAGACCCTCACTTGGAATCATTAAGGTCAAAGGAGAAGAGAAAGACCAAAGAACAGATTACACCGAGAAATGGAGACAGACATAAGAAGAATGAACAAGAATTGGATAGAAGTAGAAAGGAAGGTCAAGGACCGAGTGGGTTGGAGAATTCTAGTCGGTGGCATATACTCCACTGGGAGTAACACGCGTAAGTAAGGAAGTATTAGAAAGACTGAAATTCTTCATCTTTTACCTTCAGTTATTCATTTTTAACTAACATAAACTATATACATTAAAAATCGGCATAAATGTTAACAGTATTTATTGAAATAGAAGTAATAGACTTGTAAAAGTATGATTTACAACATTCATATAAATGGAACATTTCAGTAATATACTCACAGATGAATATTCATTTGGGACATCGACATGACCACATTTTGCTTGAATTTGGCATCGTGATTCAATACAAACAGAATCCTTTGGATAAGTAATGTAGTTATTGGAACTTTCACAATATCTAGATATTCAGGAAAAAAAATCATTTTTAAAATGTAACATTTAAGCATTTTTGTAGTTTAAAACTAAACCATTTTGATAGGTCACTGGTAACTAGCTCCGTGAGGGAATTCTTGAAGTTCTAGTAAGAAGCCGCGACCAGAGTAACTAGTCCATGTCGGGTATCTACCTCAGAACAATTAAAGATGGTCGCGCAATTTCGTGGATTAGTTAAAGTTAGACATTAACACCGTTGGATGCCGACTTAGTAGTCTAGAAGTTTAGGGTTCACGCGCGAGACTGAAAGTCCTGGGTTCGAGTCCCATGAGCGGGATTGTAGATGTGTACTGCTGAAGTATCCTATATTTAGAAGAAACGGCCATCTAGTACTTGCAGGTTTTCACTGATGATCTATTATCAATCAATTCATAATCTCAATTAAAGATTTAATAATCTCCACAATACCACAATGATAATAATCGAAAAATTGGAAATTAATTATTTAAATGATACCTTTGGGCAAGTTGATTAGTTTTTTCCGGTCTTTTAACTGTTAATGCTTCTTGCCAAAATTGCATCGCCTGATGTGCGAATTCCTGTAATACATATATATTAAAAGACTGGTAAAAAAAGGTGAGACTACAATTTATAGACGAACGAATCAGGTATAAGATAATAGTGTCGGATTTTTGCGCAAAATTCATTCATCCACTCGGCTTAAATGAGTTTTGGTATGATAGCTGATGTCAGTTTGTGATGAAAACCATAAATCTAATTCCTCACACTGGTTTATAACCCTCGTTTGGTTCTAGTTATTAGGTGAGCACTCTCAAGGTTACTTCAGCGTTACTCGAAGGTCGTCCATAAATGATATTTCATGGGATAAAAATCTGAAAAATCTGTATGAAACATATATATATATGAGATGGCGGAGACGATTTGTAGCTCAAGTAAATGATTTTGATGGAGTTTTGTTCTCTAAGCTGGATGGTTTGGTCATGGAGCTTTCATTTTTCTTTTGAACGACGTCATCAGAACAACCTTTAGGTAGAAGTGATGTGTTCAAATTTCTTCACATGTTATGAACAAAAATCAAACCAATGGAAGATACAACCAAAAGAAAAAAAGCAAACGATGACAGGTTTAAGGTCAACAAGAGCCAATCAACATCAAGGTCTACAGAACAAGCAGTAAACCACATGTGGAGAAATGCCAACACTTCACTTCTACCTGACGTTTATGCTGATGATGTTGTCCAGTAGAACGATGAAAGCTCCACGACCAAACCATCCAGCTCAAAGAACAAAACTCTACCAAAATATACATATACATATAGTATAACATAGTTTCTATTCTACACAATTATACAAGTAAAATTTTATATAATAATACGTACCAAAAGTTTGACAGAGTACTGCAATCTATGAAAACTTTCAGTAAAATATGGATAGAACGTCAATCTTTGAGGATGCATGTTTCGTTTATTCATTTTATCAGAATGAATAGGTAATCCATGCTCCTAAATATCAAATAAATATGTTTAGTTATAAAGAATAACTAGTTTTACCATATTCGAAGGAGAAATAGAACCACAGAATGATGAATTATTCACTATATTACATAATAGAAATAATAGAAATAATATGATATATGAATGAATAAACATTTTTTGTTTTATCAGCGTCGGGAAAGAGAAACAGATATACAAAAGGATGAATAACAACTGGAAGGAACTGGAAAGGATTGCCCAGGACAGGGTTGGATGAAGAATGATGGTAAGTGGCCTATGCTCCTTCACGAGGAGTAACAGGCGTAAGTAAGTAAGTTTGTTTTGTCAATTTTACTAACAGCCTATATGTATATATAATCCGTTGGATGTACCTGCACCAATCAAATAATTTTACAATCTATCTATCTACGCCTATGCTCCATTGGGAGTAACAGGCGTAAATAAGTAAGTAAGTGAGTAATGATGACAATATGAAAGGCAGCTGAAATGATAGACTTGGAAACTAGTTGATTGGTGCAATACTACTATCAAATCAGAATATTTTTAATGACTTTTTGTTTTCATTTAAGAAACTTGTAATTGTCTACAAATGAAGGTGTACATTTGAGTCTATTTTAAAAGTTTGAATGAATGTCTTTAGTTTATTTCATTTTTGTTTTTAGTGGCTCGTGATGTGACTCCAATTAGATTGTACGATGTTATTGACGAGCTAATGATATTTGTAGGGCTCGATATATCTGAACTCCAGGGTAATCGTTTCTGATTGCTATTGAAATATACAAATCGGCTATCCTCGTATATTATTATCGACTTAAATTACGTTGGTGAATAACGGAATTAAATAATCAAAAAAGGGTTTATCTGGATAGAATAGTAATTTCATTAGTTGAGATTATGAGTCAATTGGAAAACCTGGAAGCACTGGTTGGTCGTTTCATCCTACTATGGGACTCCTCATTAGTGCTCATCCACAATCCCGTTTCGCAAGATTCGAACACAGCAATTAACCACTAGACTTCCAATCTCACGAGGCTTGATCGTTTATGCACACTTTTAAGAAGTCCACAATACGAGGAAACGGCCGCCCAGTGCTATATATATCAGGTTGTTATGTAATATTGGATAATAATCAATACTACATCATACTTGATAGTTGAAGCTGTTATATCATAGTTAGTTAAAGATAAAGAACAACCGCCTTCTTTAATTCTGAAAGTTCCAAAACATCTTAATTAGTGTACTATGAATTTCCTATGGAATAAAATACTTTTTTCTAGCTGTTATACTGTAGTCAATGAGAACACAAATGGAAAAAATCGAATGTATTTCAACAAGGAGTTACAGAACATCTTAGGAAAAAACTGAAAACCATATAGTAAATACTTCATGTGTAAAGTGTCAATCAATTTTCTCAAACTTAACTGTTCTTTTTGCGAATATCAGTCAATCGTCTCATTCTTCACTATTCCTGCATTTCTATATCAATTGTTTTCTGTTCTCGTTCTTTCCTTCTTGATCTTCTCAATCTTCTGCTGCCGGATATTATATTCCTACTACTTATGTAGACATAAGTAGCACACACCACAATAAATTTGCATTAAATGTTCGAGGATAAGATATTTTCTGTATCTTATGAACAACAGGATATTACAATTGATTTCAAGTAAAACCACAATTTTAGCTCATTCAGGTAGATTAAGTCTCTTGAGTCATATCTTTCAAGTTCACTAATCAGTTATAGTTAGCAACAGTTAAATTATCCAGACCTAAATACATACCGACAAGTGTAAATATAGTTCTGATTGGTTAAAGCATACAAGTAGGCTAGAATTTCGGAAAGTCAGAAGCTGCGTGTTGAATCAAATCACTGAATAGTTAAAAGTTAGGTTTTTAATCGATCATCATAATTGTCATCATCATTTCTTGACTGAACTAAACAACATGTTGAATTGATACGATAACAGATGTAATGAAATTTTTATATAATCATAGAGTACCAAACTTATTCAGTATGTTATCTAAACTGTTTCACTGCATGGTAGATCTAATTAAAGTAGATATTGGAAATTCTTTCGCAAATGAGTTAAACGACAATAAGATTTCTTTTAGATCTTATTCTCTGTACATAACAACTGGCTATCAAACTCCATAAAACGGCTGAGGGTGGAGAGAGTTCGCTTTTCCCTTCGAAATGCTCTCATATGGCCTAGAAAGCCGATTCCTATTTATTAGTCACGGAGTGAAAATCAACTCTAAGATGCAGGTACATACAGCTGACGAAACGCGCGTCTTAGATTCCACTATTAGCCGCTGTTCATCTTTGCTTAACACCTTTAGTACTGTTTGTGAAATAATACAGTAGAGAGTAATAATATTAACCTGGTTTGAACTTAGAGTTACTATGATAAAACTGTATTTATTTGTTAATTAACTTTGTTTATACATATGAAGGGTGTATTTTAATCAATAATTTTTTTTTAATGTCACTGGTAAACAAAAAACAATCATGATGTTTTAATGGAGTTTTGTTCTCTGAACTCGATGGTTTAATTGTAGACCATTCATCATTCTTCTGAATGACATCATCTTCAGCACAAACTTCAACTTGAAGCTCTATAACCAAATAACTATCTAGTTCAAAGAACAAAACTTTATCAAAATCATTCAGCTGAACTATAAATCTTCTCCATCATCTTAACAGGTCATCTTTATTACAAAGAAATGACTACACTTTAATGTATTTCAATTTTTTTTTGCATCGAAAAACAAATGAAAAAATGAAAAAAAAACTTGTTTTATTGTTTATAAATAAACAATAATCACACCTAATTATTCAATTTTACAATTTACAAGTTCCACCCTGGTAACTAAAATGTACAATAATGACATTTGACATGAATGTAATTGATTCAATCTTATACATAAACATGCATGATATAAATAGATCAATATATATATATATATATATATATATATATATATATATATATATATTTGCAGATATCCCATCAAGTAGAAAAGTTAGATTTTCTGATGTTTCGTGACTTAGTGTAAGCTACTTCTTCAGGGAATAAATAACCACATTAAAATTAATCCAAGTTCTCTGAAGAAGTAGCTCACACTAAGTCACGAACCATCAGAAAATCTAACTTTTCTACTCAGTGGGATATCTACAAATATATATTCCACAGATTGAAATCATGAGTCAGCTGAAGCTAGACCACCATGGAAAACCTGGGAGCACTAGATGGTGGTTTCGTCCTAGTACGGGACTCCTCATCAGTGCGCACTCACGATCCCGCACCTCGCGGGACTCGAACCCAGGACCCACTGGCTTCGTGCGCGAGCACTTAACCATCAGACCACTGAGCCGGCATCCAACGGTGTTAATGTCTAACTTCAACCAATCCACGAGGTTGCGCCACCGTATACCATTGTCTTCAGTGAACTGATATCTCACAACAGACGTGGTTATACTCTACTGGTAACGGCTTCCCACTAGAACTCCAGCAGTATCTCTTGAAGTCAGTCATTTGTGTAGTTTAAAAATCCCCTTAGAATATTCAAAAATGAAGAATATTTGAGCGAACAATTGTTTCTTCAATCACTTCATCATCAGGCTCTACAGTTATAAGTCCATAAATATTTGTGATCTTTTTCAAAGGCCAAAAATAAGGCATGTATTAAGGAATTTGACAATGTTATGTGTTATAATTGGTGAACGCTTCCATCCGTTATGACATATCTATACTTCAAAATGATGTTATTTGCAAATTAGAAAGGCCATTCAATAAAGGTCAGGATGATTTGGAGTAAAGCGTTCAGTCCCGACCAGTAGAATAGTATTATAGCAAAAATGAAAATGCGAAAAATGGTGTGAATAAAATGCATAGTGGGAGAATTCCGTCTTGTTAATCGAGGTAGTAATAATAAGATTGTTATGTGAATATAATATGTAATAAGGGAGGGGGGATGTTGTCAAGGTAATTATGATAAACAAATTGGGAATGATGGATGTGAAGATTAAGATAGAGATAATCAAAAATAATGATAATAAGGGAAATAAAA